TGAGTGGGAGTACAGCTGTTATAATGGGGCCAGGGCTCAGTGAGTGGCGATTATTGCTCCTGAATTCATCACCCTAAAATTACAGCTTGCACTTGGCATAATGACCCTCACTTTGGGAAGCCCTCCTGTACCTAATCTATCTGTGGTCTTATGTGAAAGCTGATAAAACTCATAAATAAGTTATTTGTGTTTAATATGTTATCTATGTACTTTAACACACAGTACAGAATGCAGTCAACCTTTTGTTTTTATTTTCTAAGTTAGAGTGACCTGCATTTTGTGATATAGATTGTACTGTACACTTAATTGCTATTAGTGATTTAAATGTTTTATACTTTGATTTTAATTGCCTCTAACTGTTATAAATTGTGATTATTTGTTTTCTTTATATCATCACCACAATGTCATCATTTTTAATAACCATTATCGAACTAACTTGAAAGATGAGCCCAGAATCCCCAGGTTATAACAAGCAGGGTGACAATTTTCATTCAATATTGAACTTTGAAGACTGAAAGGAAAGTGACACATTGTTTATTAGGTAGATTAAGTGGAAGAGATGACTGGGTTGTTAATGGGACTTTACACTGATGTAAAATGAATTTGGTTTGAGCGATTAAAAAAAATGACTTTTTTGGTACTTCCATTGGCTACTAGAATGTTAGAAAATTGAGAGATAAATATATCGCATGCAAAAAACTTTTAAAAATTTGTGGTTTTTCCAACACTAGTCTTTTTTCTTATCAGGTATCAACTCTACCTTTGGCACCAAAGTTGCTCTTTAATCTCTGGTGATACCGATCAAATGAGCTGGCAGACCATAAATAAATCAACCGTACATAATGCATGTGCAGTGCTGAATTAGAATCTGGTCAGATTTAAAATCTCATCTGATTCCAATCCTATCTGTGCAGTTGTAGCCCAAGTATTTCCTGCAATGATTCCTCCTCTTGCTCTGGCACCATTAGATTTGATGACCGCTACGATTTTTCATCTACCTGTTGAACCTCAGTGTCTTGGCTGAAAACACACTCAGGTTCCACATGTAAACTGTCAGCACTAAGGTCAGCTTCACTACCATCTTTTTTGAGGTGACCCTGTTTGTCCACATCTAAATCCTGGTTGAGCTGCAGTTTTCTCCAATTAAGTGTTAGGAGGCTGAAGCCATTGTGTTCAGCCCCATCACAATTCTCTTCCTGTGCTAACCACAGTCTCATGTTGAACCAGACTGTTCACAACTTCAGAGCTACCTTAAGACAAAGGAGCAGACATAAACCATCCAGCCCATTGTGTCTCCTCTGCCATTCGGTGAGATCATGGCTGATCTGATAATCCTCAACTTCGTTTCCTGCCTTTTCCCCACAACCCTTGATTCCCTTATTGATTAAAAATCCGTCTCTGCCTCGAATGTACTTAATGACCCAGTCTCAACATCCCTCTGTAGTAATGAATTCCACAGATTCACTGCCTTCCAAGAAAAGAAATTCCTCTTCGTCACTGCCTTAAATGTGTGACCCCTTATTTTGTGATTATCCCCTCTGATCCAAGAGTATCCCACAAGGGGAAACAACCTCTCTGCATCCACTCTGTCAAGTCCCCTATGAATCTTGTAGGTTTCAATAAGACTGCCGCTCTTTTTGTATGCCGACGATTAATGCCCCAACTTACTCACTCTCTCCTCATAAAACAGCCCCTCCATACTAAAATCAAACTAGTGAACCATCTCTGGACTGCCTGCAAAGCCAGTATATCTTTCCTTAGATAAGGAGCCCAAAACTTTCACTGTATTCTATCTATAGCCTTGTATAGTTTTAGTAAAACCTCCTTACTTTTATAGCCTGTTCTCGATAGAAGATAGAATCCTTACAGTGTGGAAACAGGCCATTCGGCCCAACAAGTCCACACCACCCTCCGAAGAGCATTTCCCCCAGACCCTTTCCCCTACCCCTGCATTTCCCATGTCTAACCCAAATATCATTGGATACTATGGGCAAATTAGCACGGCCAGTTCACCTACCCTGCACATCTTTCGACTGTGGGAGGAAACCGGAGCACCCGGAGGAAACCCACACAGACACGGGGAGAATGTGCAAACTCCACACAGATAGTCACCTGAGGATAGAGTCGAACCTGGGTCCTTGGTGCTGTGAGGCAGCATTGCCAACCACCGTGCTGCACCATGTTCTCGTTGAAATAAAGACCAACATTACATTTGTCTTCCCTATTATCCACTGAGCTTGGACGCTAACTTTTTGCAATTCGTGGATGACACTGCCCAGCCCATTTTCTGTCCCTTATATCATCTTTGTCCACCTTCCTGTCTTATTGCAAACAATGCTGAGATCCTCATTCTGCCCATTGTTGCAAAATTAACTGTTGCAGTGATCTCCTGGCTGCATTCCTAAGTTCTATCCCTCATAAACCTGAGCTCATTCAAAACTTTACCACCTGTGTCCTATCTCCCATTTACACATTTGCGTTCAGTACAGATTGACAACTTTTTGTCTAATCCTCATGTTGCAATTCCTTTGATGCCTTGCCCCTCTTGCAGTGTCTGTAACCTTCTCCAGCCTACAACCCTCTGCTGCAAATCTGTCCTTCTACTGTACTTCTGATAACTGCCCCTTCAGCTGCCTAAATCAAAGGCCCTAGAATTCCATCCTTAAACTGTTCCAGCTCTCTTTTCTTCTAAGTGGCATCTCAAAAACCTACCTGATTCTTTTGTTCCACTTGTCCTAGTATCTCCTCCTTTGGCTTGAAGTTACTATTTTTGTTTGTCTGATATATTCTCCGATGAAGTGTCTTGGGATGCTTTTCTACACTAAGCTGCTATATAAAGGTAGTTTTTTGATACTGTATGTTGTGATGTGCAGTGTACCAACTGAATTTACTGATAACCTATTTTACTCAGGTGATGGTTCCTGGAAGGCAGAATGACCTCGTGCTCCAGCCTCTACTCTCGGACACTTTGTATAAAATTTCTGTGACACCGCTCTACATTGATGGAGAGGGCACTACTGTCACTGTCAATGGCAAGACCTGTAAGTGGAGAATCTGGTTTATGTCATTTTACAGATCTTATTGAATGGTGCAGCGGGTTGAGGGGCCAAATGACCCCTCACTTCTGACATTCGCGTACATTGGAACAGTGACTCTCGGTACAAGAAAAATGCATATCCTTCCTTCATCCATGAGGTGTGAGGGTCTGTGACAAGGCCAGTGTTTATTGCTCATCCTTAATTGCCCCTGACAAGACGATGGTGACCCTCTTTGCGATTGACCGAGTGGCTAGATAGTTGACCATGGCCCACGCACATTGACATGTACCTCATAGTATTTGTGGGACTGGGCATGGTAACTGCTCTTGAGTCTACTGAGACACTTAACTAAATAATTAACAGGCAGATAACAGTCTCTTGCTACCTGCACTGATATAAAATTCTGATTAGTGGCAGGAGGACCTGAGTGCCTGTTTTTGAAAGGGCTTCTTTGAAACAATGGGAAAGTAGGGGATGCCTACTGCGGATTGGGGCAGACCCCACAATATATCATCCCACCACTTCCTTCTTTCCCACCTCCAAGATTTGGCCCCTTCTTCTTCCTCCCCTCCCCTCTCCTCCCCTCTCTCAGATCTCTGATTCCTTCCTGCCCTAAAACCCTGGACGTATCTGTCTCTGGGATCTATGGCTTCTTCTCCCTGCGCTTTGTGGCGCCCACTGCAAAGGAGTGCCTTGACTGGGACCCCATCTGATTGGCTGCCAATCTCTTGAGGGTGTGACTTCCTCCCACTGTGGGGACAGTGGTCTGGCCCTCTGAGCCTGCCTGGCCTCCCTTGGAGTTATCACTGCAGGAAAGTCATTCCACTCAGAACCAAATTCCATTCTGCTGCTCCCTCTCCTCTGTCTTGTAAAATCCAACCCTATAGCTCTGGATCATTACTCTAGGCCTCTGAATGACTCACCAGTAAAATAACCACTGTATAGCCACACACGATAAACAGACTCAATCTCTGAGGAAATGTTAGCTTATGACCTGTACTCAATTCTAACCTGACTTTCCCTCACTTTGTTGTATCTTTGGCTCCACATTCCATTTAGAGAAAGAAAGTGAGTGTGAAAAACAAAGAAAGGTCAAGGTATGAAAAGAGAGAGGGGGAGAGAGAGAAAGAGAGAGAAAGTAACATGGAATAACAAGAAAGGGTAGAAACTGAAAGAATAATACCATGGGGTCTCAATTTGGCATCTCATCAGAGAGATGGTACTTCTGTCATTGTAGCATTCTCTCAATACTGTACTGGGTGTGTCAGCCTGAATCTTATGCTCAAATTTTGGCAGTGGGACTTGAGCCCACAACCTTCTTATTAAAGGTGCCATAACACACTCAAACTAATGAATTAAAACAGTTTGTTAATTTGAAAGTGCATTTAGAATGATTTGCGTTGATTACTTTTTGTTGTAGTGCCACTTTCTGGACCAACCAACCTACGTGTCTCAGAGGAATGGTACAATCGTTTCCGAATTAGGTGGGACCCTCCACCAACAGCAACAATGGGTTACAGAGTGGTGTACACTTCTGCCTCAGGTATGACATCCACATTATTGAACCAGAGGTAGTCCTGTGCCCCACAGTAATATTTATTTTCATTGCAAAAGCCCTCAGTTATATCAGTATTTGTGCTTATAATGTTCAAACGCTAAAGGCTGAATTTTCTCTTTTCGTTTTTGGTAAAATTTTTCTATAGCTGAGATTCACAGTGAACAGCCCATGTGAGCCTTTCTCTCTCAGTCTTCCACATATTAGCTCCTTAACTGTAGAGCGGGCCTATATAGTGCCCAGCTCATTGGGTTGTGCTGAAGGAGTGGTGGGAGTGCTCTGTGCTGCTGGAATTTCCATGTTCACGCCACTGGCACCATTTTTAGAACCCAAGCTCCACACCACTCCTGATGCTGTGTGATGAGCTGCCCTTTGTAACTGAGTGAATGGGGCAGAAAGGGCACCCTGTTTCACAGGCAGTGACCCAGCGGCACTGGTGGATGGTGTGGTCAAAAGAAGTGCAGTGCTGTTTCCTTCAGAACACTGAAGGCAGCAGGTGTAGCCAGCCCGGTCAAAGATTGTGGCCTGAATCAATCTGTTGGCTAAGGTCAAACACAAATCCCAGCAGTGCTGACAGAAGGTTTAACAATCCTCTGCACTTTGCAAGGGTAAGTGCCATCATCTTCTCTCTGCTACCTCACAATTACAGAGCCACCATTCACTCTAGCTCTGCATCTCACCAAAGGATCATGGAATGCAACTCTCTCAAATCATGTTCATTCAGCATCCTCCCAGACTACAAACTCTTCCTGCCCTCTGTCCTTCTGATTCTCTCACTGGGGATACCTCACCATCTCTCCACCCACTCCTATCACATTCGCACACTGAATTTGTGTCATTCCATAAAAAATGTTTCAGTATTGGACATAGAGGTTAGAGACCAGTGGAACATAGAACTTAGAACAGTACAGCAGAGTACAGGCCCTTCGGCCCACAATGTTGTGCTGACCAACATGGAGGGTGGCAGGCATTGGGCTCTTGGTCCCTTATGAGAAAAGAGTGTTGGAATTGATTGGAGAAGAGAGTGGTCATCTGTGTAGAGATGCAGACTCCTTTGTGGGTAACCAACCCAGTGAGCTATATGGTGCTGCACTGCTTGCCAATTAACACCAGCACTGATTCATTCTGAGCAAGCATACAATTGTCATTCACAATATCTTCCCTTCCTTGGACCGTTGGGGCTAAGTTGTTCTATATATTAAAGATTGGCGGCTAAAGATTTTTAATCAGTAAGGGAATCAAAGTGGAGATGAGGATTGTCAAATCAACCATGATTTCACAGAACGGCAGAGCAGACTTGATAGGCTGAATGGCCTACTTCTGCTTCTGCATCTTATGATTCATTATAAATCATCACGCACTATTCGCGCGCACTCCTAAAATGTCTGTTCTAGACTCTCTGTTGTTGTTGGACTGGCGAAGTTGCAACCATTTTTGTGTTGATCAGCCTCTTTAGACATCTTGATGTTGAAAGAAGTTGTAACGGCCAAGAATTGCTTGTCCCTCACAAGTAGCTAACTCCTTGATTGCAAACAGCATCAGCTGTTAGGGATACTTGAACTGTCATGTTGTTGACTGTAGCCAGTTTAATGTGGAAGGTTAAAAGGAGTATTATGATTGCCCTTGACCTGCTGCCTATCATGAGAGAATGCATTCCGCAATATTTGGTTAGTACATATTGACTGAAGCTTCGAAAGCTACCTAAGCTCAGCACAATGCCATGTAACTGCTCTATCTCACTGTCAGCTGCTTTCTCTGGAACAGTAAAGGAGGATTGGTAAAACGCAATGAAGGGAAGTCCAAAACTAGCTCATTTATCCTGGAACCAACTGTCAATGAGATTCTCTTTGGCCTCTCCCACCTGACAGTGCATAGCTCCATTATGCTGTTTTCGATGTCCCTTCAGATCAATGTATTGATCCTTGTGCACAGACTACGCTCAATCCCCCATTTCTTCTGCACGCTGGACAACTCTGTGTGTTGGCTCCAGTTTCAAGGGTACAGCATGCCATCTTTTCTGGACTGTACTGCACTGCAAGGCCCTGCTGGAGTGGATCAGACATTAAAACCTCATTCACCATGGTCCTGGTAGAAGCATGGGCAACAACGTACCTCCATTCTGTGTTGGTCTGATGCTTTTGTAAAGGTGTAGTTGGCCAGGTTTGAGGGTATAGCCCTTATCTCTCAGCAGCAAACCCAGTAAAGCCTGATGACCTTGGTAGGAGGCAAGAATCTGAGAGTTTGCCAGTGCGTACACATCATGGCAGCACAGGGCAGGGAAATAGACTTGAGGTGGAATTTCAGCCTTCATCTTACTGAATGATGGAGCAGGCTTGTGTGGCATGAGGCTGGCTATTTGGTTTGTCCTTGTGTGAAAGGTGTTTTACGTTAAGCTTGGATATTTTACCACTATTTCTATAAATGCTGCAGTGTTCACTGACAGCTCCTGTTCTGACTTGACAAGGAGTTTGACATTTATTAATGTATATGTAAATGAACTCTCAGCATCAAGAATAAGTCAAAACTGTTGCTAGTTGGTCAGAAACTGGAGATTTGGAAAAATAAAAGTATGTCCCGTTTTTGTTGTCCTATTTTCTGAAGAACTACCGGGGCGATTTTAACCTAATGCATCTGTCAGAGAAACTGTTCAAGAATGACATTGGTTTTATACTCTATAAAGTTTTGTGGTGTATTAAAGTCAGGATTTGTTTCCCAAACAACATTCCCAACCCAATCCTGTTGATTGCTGTGCAGGAGGTTAGGTTAAAATTAACTCACTCTACATTAACACCTCAATGAGCTTTTGTTACACCAGCATTGGCTTCTGTTGAGTGAGTTTGCTAAAAGTGCTTGTTAGGTGAGAATTGTAATTGGATCTGACAGGATCCTGAGGTTTAATGCAGATTACATTCCCCAATTCTGATATCCATAGTTTTCTGCTGGCCCTGTTCATTTTCTGTTCAATCATTTGGGAGGATGTGGGTGTCGCTGGCTGGGGAGGGGGAAATAGTTATTCCCTATCCCCGTGACACTGAAGGAACAGTGATATATTTCCAAGGCAGGATGATGAGTGGCTTGAAAGAGAAAGTGCAAATGGTGGTGTTCCCATATATCTACTGCACTTGTCCTCTGGGTACGAGAGATCGTGGGTTTGGATGGTGTTGTTTCAGGAACCTTGTTGAGTTGTTGCGCTGCATCTTATAGAATGATACACACTACTAGTGCTGTACATCAGTGGTGGCAGGAGTGAATGTTTTGGGATACGGTGCCAATCAAGTGGGCTGCTTTTTCATGGATGGCATCGAGCTTCTTGAGTGTTGTAGGAGTGGCATTCATTCAGGCAAATGAGGAGTATTCCATCACACTCTTGATTTGTGCCTTGTAGATGATTGACAGGCTTTGGGAAGCCAGGAAGAGCATGTTACTCACTACAGACGCTGACCTGCTCTTGTTGCACCTATATTCATACAAATAGCCCAGTCAGTTTCTGGTCAATGGTAAACTCCAACATGTGGATATTTAATACATACCCTTTTGCAATGTTTGTTTTTTGTTTTTTGCCGTATTCTTGATATGTTCCAATTATGTGGCTCTATTTAACAATGAACATTAAGAAAGGAATGTAAGCGAATTATGCTGGAAATTTGAAGTAAAAGCAGAAAATGCCAAAGACCTTCAGTAGCATCTGTGCAGAAAGTTAAAAGCAGAACTGATGAGAATGAAGTGATGAATAATGAGAGTAAAAGTTATTGATATTAAAGAGGGTGCTGGGTCCTGTAATACGTTTTAATCAGATTTAGAACTGATATTGGGGAAGAGGCAGATTAAAGGATCATGGCAAACTATTCACTTGCATAAATCTTCTTTCCTGTTTCTGTTTGAATTTCAGCACCAGGTCCTACCCTGGATACGTTTGTGGGAGATGATGTGAACACAATGGTGATCCTCAACCTGCTCAGTGGCACTGAATACATCGTTAAACTCTTTGCAACATACTCCACTGGTTCCAGTGATGCAGTTGTTGGCAGAGCGAAAACATGTAAGACTTATTGAAACTTGCCCTCTGTATCTCAGACAGTATGAGAAGGGAGTGAATCCCTCCATCTGAATTCTCCACTATTGAATTTGTTATGGTCAATAGTCACCCTCAGGCTGTGAGTGTTGCATTAAATCATTTGGGGGTCAGTTAGCTCTGTTGGCTGGACAGTGGTGAATGATACCAGTTGCGTGGGATCACTTCCTGCACTGGCTGAGGTTACCATAGAGACTGTCCTTCTTAATCTCTCCTCTTGTCTGAGGCATGGTAACCTTCAGGATAAATCACCACCAATTGCCTTTCTCTCAGGGAGGCGATGGCCTTGTGGTATTATCGCCAAACTATTAATCCAGAAACCCTGGTAATATTCTGGAGATCTGGGTTCAAACCCTACTGTGACAGATAGTGAAATTTGAATCCAATAAATATCTGGAATTAGGAGTCTAATGATGACCATGAAACCATTGTCAACTGTTGGGGGAAACAACTCTTGACCCACAGCAACCTGGCTGACACATAACTGACCCCAGGGCAAGTAAGGATAGTAATAAATGTTGGTGTAGCCACTGATGCCCTAATGCCATGAGTACATTTTTGTAAAGAGCTACAGTTCCTGTAACTGTAACTGAGTCAAGAAATCAGCTGAAGGAAAGATTTGTTTTCCTTTCTGGTGGAATAAATGGCAGTTTTGACTAACACAAAAACCACTGATATTGAGGGAAATCTCTGATTTTAGCATCAGTCAGCACAGAAGGAGGCTAATTGTCTATGGAGTCTAGGCTGGCCCTATCCAATTAGTCTCACTTACCCCTGCCTTTCACGTATCGATGCAGTCCTCCTTTTGAAAGTCACCATTGAATTTGCTTCCATCAACTTTTCAGCTGCTGTAGAAAATGTGATCACTTACTGTTTAACATTTCTGATTTGATTTTGTAATGATCAGCAGAAGTCAATGAACAAAAGATAAAATGTTGGCACACTGCAGTGGCTTGTCCCATATTGCAGCCATGTCATCACTTAAATTTTCTGATGGCCATTGTAGCTCTGTGGGGTGCTTGCTCATCTCTGGGTCAGGAGGATATGAGCACAATTCTGTTTTCTTTACCTCCAGCACTGTAGTAATGGAGTACTGCACTGTTGGAGGTGCTGTCCTTCAGATGAGATTTTAAAACAAATCCCTTTCTACCTCTTCCATTGATGCAAAAGATTCTGTGGCACAATTCATAGTTTCCTGGTATTGAGTGATCCCTCAAGCAGTCATCACTAAAATAAAATATCTGGTTATTGCTGTTTGTGGGAAATTCCTGTTCACAAATTGACTACTGTGTTCCCCTGTGTTACAACAGTGGCTAGACAACTGAGTGCTTCATTAGCTGTAAAGCACTTTGAGATGTCCTGACCTGGAGGAAAGTGCTACATAAATGCAAGTTCTTTCTTACTGAGGTGTGTCTGCTGTCCCGTGAAGTGTCCTGATGCTTCACACGCTCTTTGTTGTCCCTTGCAGTGTACCTCGGTGTGACAAATCTCACCCCATATCAAGTCCGAATGACCAGCATGTGTGCACATTGGCAGCAGCATAGGCATGCAACGACTTACAGAATAGTCATTGAATCTCTCCGAGGTAAGAACAAGAAGCAGACCTGCATGAATTATATGCCCATTAGGATGGGCGTTGAAAACCTAGGGGAGTGTTCTTTCCACTTTGCGTGGTGACAGTGGGAGGATGAGTAAAATAGTTGGATATAACTTTAGTAATTCAGACCAGAGATGTAGAGCAGTTTCAACATATGGCACGGTCAAGAGTGTGGACAAGGATTATAGTTAAGGCCGTGCCTTAATTTTGGGGATTCCTTGATCATTTTTCCACAGAATGGATTTGGTAAGCCATTTCTTCCATCATTGGATCAGACAGCACAGAAAGAAGCCAATTACTCCCCACTTATGTGGATGACGGCAGCTTCAACAACAGTTTGTTACTGTTGAGGGTGAAGCAGTGTGCTTGATCAGCACCCCATCCACCACTTAAACTTTCACTCCCTTCACCATAAGCGCATAGAAGCTGCTGTGTGTATCATCTGCAAGATGTACTGTAACAAACAGTGCCAAGTGGCAAACAATTACCTCCAAATGTGCAATTTCTTCCACTTCGAAGAACAAGAAAAGCAGATGCATGGGAAAATCAATATTTGCAGGTTCTCAACCTCCCCCCTCCCAAGACCCTGGAACTACACTGGCTGTTCCTTCATGATTGCTGAATTGAAATCTGGGAATTCTGTTCCGAACAGCGCAGTCGGGTGTATTTTCACAACAGGGATGGCAGCAGTTCAGTGAGGTATCTCCCCCACCACTGTTTTAAGGGCAATGAGGCATGGGCAGTAAATGCTGACCTAGCCAGTCATGCTTATATCCCAAGAATGAATAAACAAAAAATTTCACCATGCTTCTTTGAAGGAGCAATTCACTTACACCCTCCAACTGTTTCCTTTTCAAGTATAAACCAGTTCCCTTGTGATTGGATACACATGAAGAAGTAAGATGAAGTTGGCAAAATCTTAAACAGGGGCCATATTCAGTATTTGGCTGCTCTAAATGTCAATAGTAACTTTGAGTTTAACTATGTTTGAATAAGCATTTAGCATGGGTGTGTTTTCATTGAGATATGTCAGAGCCAATTTTCTAAGCACAGCTACCATCTATTTGCACTTTATTGTGTGTTTGAAGGTAAAGTTATTGCTTAGGTTTGAATAGAATCCAGATGCCCAGAAAGCTGACACAGCAGTTTATAAAGGTAGAGGAATTCAAATTCTGCTCACTGTCTATGAGTGGGTTCAATTCAGGCCTCTCATACCTTTTCATATCAGTGGGACTTACTTATATTGAACTTTGGACATTAATTACTTGGCACAAGAGAACTGTGTTTTTACAAGTAACAATTGTATTCTGCCAACAAGTGACTGTTTAAATTAGTTAGCACTGAAATCTGTTCAATTCTTACTGCTAATAATGCTAACAGGAATGAAGTTATAAAAAAGCAAAATAAAAACCCCCACAGTGAATATTTATGCAGCCCTTGATTATTATGCTCTATCTACCTGATTTTTGAGGAAGTAGTTGATTTTTTGCTAGGGTGTAGCTGAGTTGTCTATGGCTACATTACCCATTTTCAAACATTAGTGGAGGGTTTATGATTTGAGCTTCCAACAGTGAAGAAATCATTGAGCAAGAGAGAGCTCCATTATATAATAGTCTAAGAGACATTGTGCCTTTCAGTTAAATCCAACTTAACCTACTTACTGCAGACTTGTTAGACTTCAGAATTCTTCCCTTTATGGTTTACACATGTTCTATAGAGCACTTCAGAGCAAAGGTTGAGGGGAAGTTGGTGGTGGAAAGAACTGCATTTCTCTTTGCCAAAGAAAAGTCTCACAATAACTTAAAGATAGCAAGAAACGCAGTTGCTGGAGTCAGAGATAACACAGTGTGGAGCTGGAGGAACACAGCAGGTCAGGCAGCATCAGAGGAGCAGGAAGTTGACTTTTTGGATCGGGACCCTTCTTCAGAAATGGGGAGGGGGAGGGGAGCACCAAAATAAATAGAGGAGGGGTGGGGCTGGGGAAGGGAGCTGGGATGGTGATAGGTGAGTGCAGGTAGGGAGTGGTAGGGATTGGTCAGTGGGATGGGAGCGGCAGATAGGTGGGATAGATAGAAGATGGACAGGTTGTGACAGGTCAAGGAGGCAGGGATGAGAGGGAGGGTTGGTCATGGGATGAGGCCAGGGGTGGGGAGATTTTAAAACTGGTGAATTCCATGTTAAGGCCTTTGGGCTGTAGGGGACCGAGGCAGAATATGAGGCGCTGCTCCTCCAGTTTGTGGGTGGTGTCATTGTGACACTGGAGGAGGCCCAGGATGGACATGTCACCCAAGGAGTGGGAGGGGGAGTTAAAATGGTTGGCGACCGGATGATGTTCTACAAAACGGTCTCTGAGTCTACGCTTGGTCACACCGATGTAGAGGAGGCCACATCGGGAGGAGTGGACACAGTAGACCAAGTTGATGGATGTACAGGTGAACCCCTGTCGGATATGAAAGGTTTGCTTTGGGCCTTGGACGGAAATGAGGGGAGAGGTGTAGGGGCTGGTATAGCACTTCCTGCGGTTGCAGGGAAAGGTGCCGGGGTTGCTGGCGTTAGTGGGGAGTGTGGAGTGGACAAGGGAGTCATGGAGAGAGCGGTCCCTATGGAAGGCAGAGAGGGGTGAGAGGGAAATATCTCTTTGGTTGTGGGGTCGGATTGTAGGTGGCGGATAATGATATGCTAGATGCAGAGGTTGGTGGAATGATATGTGAGGACCAAGAGGAGTCTGTCTTTATTTTTGTTGGGGGGAGGGGGTGTGTGGGCAGAAGTGCGGGAAATGGAAGAGATGTGGTTGAGGGCATTTTCGATCACTGGAGGAGGGAAGCTCCCATCTTGGGAGCAGACGCTGTGGAGACAGAAGAATTGGGAATAAGGGATCGCAATCTTGCAAGAAAGTGGGTGAGAGGAGGTGTAGTCCAGGTAGCTGTGGGAGTCAGTGGGCTCAAAATAGATGTCACTTTTGAGGCGGTTACTAGAGATGGAGATGGAGAGGCCCAGGAAGGAGAGGGAGGTATCGGAGATGGTCCAGGTGAACTTGAGGTTGGGGTGAAACCTGTTAGTAAAGTTGATGAACTGTTCAAGCTCCTCAAGGGAGCACGAGGCAGTGCTGATATAGTCATCGATGTAACGGAGAAAGAGGTCGAGGATAGTACCAGGTTAACAGCAGAAAAGGGACTGTTCCAGTATCCTACGAAGAGACAGGCATAGCTTGGGCCCATGCTGGTGCCCATGGCCACCCCCTTAGTCTGTAGGAAGTGGGAGGAGTTAAAGGAGAAGTTGTTCAGGGTAAAGACAAGTTCTGTTAAGCGGATGACGGTGTCAGTGTAGGGCCTGCAGGAGGAGACCAAGTGTAGACTCGGAGACTGTTTTGTAGAGAGTCCGCCCTCTGTTCGTGACAAACGACAACACCTTCCGGTCGCCAACCATTTTAACTCCCCCTCCCACTCCCTGGGTGACATGTCCATCCTGGGCCTCCTCCAGTGTCACTATGACACCACCCGCAAACTGGAGGAGCAGAATCTCATATTCCACCTCAGGAGCCTACAGCCCGATGGCCTAAACATAGAGTTCACAGTTTTAAAATCTCCCCAATCCCGGCCTCATCCCATGTCCAACCATCCCTCTCATCCCCACCTCCTTGAACTGACACAACCTGTCCTTCTTCTCTCCCACCTATCTGCCCCTCCCATCCCACTGACCAATCGCTACCACTCCCTTCCTGCACTCACCTATCACCATCCCACCTACCTTCCCCAGCACCACTCCTCCTCTCTATTTATTTCCCAGCTCCCTTACCCCTCCCCCTTTCTGAAGAAGGTTCCTGATCCAAAACATCAACCTTCCTGCTCCTCTGATGCTGCCTGGCCTGCTGTGTTCCTCCAGCTCCACGCTATGTTATGTCTCACAATAATTTCCTTTTAAGTTTCTTGGGTATAGGAGCAAAAAAAGGCCATGGCAATGCTCCAAAAAGAGCTTCCACCAGCAGAGCATTCTGTGGTAGCCATATTTTGATTTGGCAGTGCCTGGAATGGTTAGAAGGTCATATTTCAAATCACGAATTTCATTGAATCAAAAGACGTGCAAATCAGACTTATTTGGCAGGAGATGATTCTCTGTTAAATCAAATTGGCAAGAAGGCCAGTGAGAGTGGAGGACTGCTGCTTATTAATTATTATTGGGTGAAGGCTATTATATTGTTATGTGAAGTAGTAGTTGGATCCTATTTGAAGCAACTGAGTTAAATTTTGGGCACCATGCTTCAGAAAGGATATATTGGTCCTGGAGTGGCTGTGGTGCAGGATCACCTGAATGATACTGGTTACTAATTAGTTAAATTATGAGGATAGGTTATGGAGGCTAGGCTTGCATTCCCATGAGTATGAAAAATTAAGGGCTGAGTATTTTTACGTGTTTGTAAGCTTATTAAAGGATTTGATGGGACAGCTATAAGAGAAACAATTTCCTTTGGCATGGAAGATGGGGTGGTGTGGGGAATAAGTCCAGAACATGGTCAGAAACTTAAAAGTAGAACAGGACATTCAGGGTGATGTCAAGTTGCATCGTGAAAATCTGGGGCTTCCCGAAAGCTGAAGGGGGCAGGATGTGTGGGAAATGGTTTTGGGGGAGTGTGAATTTAAACTTTCAGACCTGAGATTTATAGATTTGATGGGGTTGGGGGCTTTAGGCTATCAGAACAAAATCAGTCAATGGAGCCAATACACAGATCAGTCTTGACCTAATTGGATGGTGGAACAAGCTCAATGGGTTGAATGATTCCTGTTCCCAGATTCCTGTCTCAAACATTGCAACATTTCTTTTAACATTTGTCACTATCTGCGTTTGTTGTTTAACCACTTCAACATATAAGTTGTACACTCCAAAATTCCACAACTTCCTGTGACTATTACCGTTAACTAATACATAACATTAGATACATTAAAGGATCTGAGTCTTATAATAAAATACTTAATAACTAAGACAAAGGAGCACAAAAGACCATTTGAGTCTGCTCCACCAAACAATGAGAGCATGGCTGACCTGATAACCCTCAACTCCACATTTCTGCCTTTTCCCTGTGACCCTTGGTTTCCTTGCTGATTAAAACTCTTATCTATCTCAGTCTGCTGTAGACTTAACACCCTAGCCTCAGCAGTCTCTCATTGTGGTTGCCAAAAAAATTCCGGGAAAATGTAAGAAATATGGATGTAAAAGAAGAACCAATTGGGATTTGGCAAAGAATAAATTCCATCTGCCTTTCTGAGTCCAGACTTCTATTTCTTCTACTGTAATTCACACTGCTGAGGCCAACAACTGTAATTGTTAGATTGAGATTTCACAGAGGTGCATGTGTACGCTTTATGAACCATCATTCATGAGATGTCTCATCAAATTTGAACTCCTTCACCCCGGAGAATGCTGTCTGTGAGAACATTAATGAGTTCAAACAAGTAGTCAACTCTAGGTCGAGTTTCTACAGGTGTGTGCAGCTGCATGGAGCTTTTCCCTCACTGTGTCTACATTGGAATGACCGATAGCATCCCGATTAATCAGTTATGTCTTTTGGGGAATTTCAGATGGAAGGAAGGAAGAAGTAATTGTTGATGGAGGCACGTCCCGCCACTGTTTCTACAATCTCATTCCAAACACAAAATACAAAATTAGTGTCTATTCACAGCTGCAAGAGATAGAAGGACCAGCTGTGAGTCTGCTAGAGGCTACAGGTATGTAACCGCTTAACTTAATTGTGTTCACTGTTTGTGCCACATTCATCTTGTGTTTAATTTAAGATACCTTACACTCTTTTACACACTCTACAGCAGCAGCATCCAGCAATAGAGTTATTGAATGTGCAAGACTTACATATCCCATCATGTGAAACACTGTGTCTTAGTGTTATTTTGATTGTAATTTATTCTCTGACAAGTAGCTGACGGGGCAAGATTGTGGTTGCCAGAGAGTGTAATCACAACTCCAAATTTGTTACAGCACAGGAGGAGGCCATTCAGCCCATTGGCCTACACTGGCTCTGAAAATGAGCAACACACCTAGTTCCATTCCACTGCCTTCTCCCTCATGCATGAAATTCTTACTTATCAGATAATTATCAAATTCCCTGTTGACTGTATTAATTGAACCTGCCTTAACCACATCCTCAGATATTGCCTTCCTTGCGCTGTGGGAAAATGTTTCTCTCATTCTTGATCCTTCCTCCAGTGTGAACAGTTTCCCTCTATCAACTTTTACCCAGACACCTCATGATTTTGAATACCTCTATCAAATCTGCTGTCAACTTTCTTTATTCCGAAGAAACAGTCCCAACTTCCCCAAACTGTCTATATGGCTGAAGTTCCACATCCCTGGAACTGGTCTTGTGATTCTTTGTTGAACCCTCTCTAATGTATACATATTTTTCCCAAAGTGTTTCCTAAACCCAGAACTGTATGCTACACTCGAAGTGAGCTGAACCAGTGTATTGTACAAGTTAAACATAAGCACATTGCTCTTGCGCTTTATGCCTCTGTTAATAAATGCTTTATTAACCATACTGTAAGCTTGTCATTCTTCCTTCAATGACTTATGCAGATGTATGCTGAGGTCTTGCTGCTCCGAATCCACTTGTGCCCATTATTTGCTTTATTTTCTAATGCCTCTCCATGCTTTTCCTGCCAAACCCAGTCACTTCACACAACTCTGCATTGAATTCCATCTACTGCCTATCTATCTGTTCAATCAGCTTGCCTATATCCATTTGAAATACTACACTGTCTTCCTCACAGTTCACAATGCTTCCATGTTTCATGCCATCTACAAGTTTTGAAATTGTGATTCTTTCAAAGACAATGATAGTAAATATTGGATCGCTAACACTACAATCAATGGCCGTCGCACACGCTTGAAAGTGGGCATAGAGGCTGGAGTCATTTTTCTGTCAGATGACCTTAAATCTTATGCAACCGTTTAATTTTGTTCACTGTTTGTCCAACATTCATCTTATGTTTAATATAAGATACCTCACACTCTCTTACCAATGCCTCACGGCAGCAGCATTCAGTAATAAAATTATTGCATGTGTGAGACTTGCATAGCATCATGTGAAACACATCTATTGTGTCTTAATGTCATTTTGGTTGAAATTTGTACTCTGACTAATAGCTATGTAAGATTACCCTGCAGCCTTGATCTGTCACACTTCAGGGCCCAAGAGGAACAGCCTGAAAGTCAAAGGTCAGCATCAGGCAACGTTAAGACACAAAATCAAATTTTTGAAACACTATGGTAGAACAACCTATCAATCCACCGCTAAGTGAGAGAGTCTGCACAGATCTCAACCTCATTCTTGAAGTGAAAGCAGTCACGCAACAAAGATCAATTTCCAAAACTCTTTAGAGACCTGGGGAAATTGACACTGCCTATTCCATCACACTGAAATTAAATCCAGACCCATTCCCTTGTTCAGGCCCTGGTAGGTCCTATACCCACTTTAAGCAACAATACAAGCCATGCCCCAATAGGGAGTTATTTCAAGAATCTCACAACCAACCACATGATGCCTTTATGGTGCCAATCCCAAATCAAATGAATCCATTACAATTTCTGTCAACTTAACACATTTGAACAAGGCAGTAAAATGAGAGTATTATCCAGTAGCATCTGTTGATGAGAGCCTAGCTAAACTTTCAAACAAGTTACCAAGCTGGATTTGAACAGCAGCATTTGGTAATTCCCCTAATTGGAGTCCAAATTGTAAATCATCTTTGTAAAACCTCTTTAATGTTATCTTTTTAATTGCGTGTCCTTTGGAATTACCTGAGATTTTCCAATAGACAGTTTTTGACATACCAGAAGGAATGGAAGGCATTGTACGCCATGTACATGACATTCTTATCCATTTTCCTCCATGAAGCACAATATTGCAACAAGGTGCAGACAGTCTTAGCAAAGTAATGGGATGCTGATACTCAGAGATGAGTTCTGAGTTCCAAAGCCCTATGACAAAATTGCTAGGCCATGTTGTCCAGGCAACAGGCATCATGACAAACCTGCAGAGGACAGAAGCCAACAGGAAAATTCACCACAAACAAAAAACTTCAAAGAACAGTATATGGGAATGGTAAATGGAAAAATCCTTAACCCATTTAGTACAAGTAAATGGACCTTAAGACAACTTCTGCCCAGGGATCAGGCATGGGACATGTTGAGCCTTCGAAGACAATGCAAATCCTGGACATAGCTGTCTTTGACAATGGGCCACAATTCACTTAATTAATTTGGAAGATCTGTCGAATAAGTGATTGGCTGGCGTCTCTTGCACTCAGTCTTGCCATGGAGGAAATTGCACCCACCTAGAGCTGTGGAAAGCCTAGGACAAAGTTAAATGGAGTGGCAAGGTGTTTCACAATGTTTCTAACCTTTTGCGATCTCGTGTGGATTTGCCCCTGTTACAGATTGGCTGAAGTACCCTCAAATCAATGGTGAAGCTGAGAGAGGAGCAAGTACCATGAAAGTACTATAATGAAAATCTTAAGAAAGGAGATCTTCATTTAGACCTACTCGACTATCACTCTTAGTATCACCATCACAGGATGGCTTTACCCAAAGCCAGCTTTGGGTGGGCAGAAGTCTGCCAACTCAACTTGCTTCGCTTTCCCAGATACTAAAGCTGAATATCATGGCGTGGCACCATGAACAAGCAAGACAGCAAGAAGAATGTTACAGGGTAGCCCAAGCTCACACCGTTGTCAGCCAGGGACACTGGGTTTCTGATCTTCCCATGTCAGAAAGTGGAGGGCACAGTTTCCTACTGAGAGAAGGTAGTGGTGGTTGTGGCTATAACAGCTGAGATCTGGACACCAAATGCATTGTCAGAAGAAACAGGACTGCATTGATTTTGCTGAAAAAGAAGTCTACAGCCAGATGGACTGAATACCCTGATCGTCAGGGGAAACTGTGATAACACAGCTACTAACTACAGGGCCTAGGGATGAAGGAATGGACAGATTGTCAAAAGTTTCAAAGGAAACTCTGTACACGTTTAAGAGACTGATATAGCCTCCTTCAGTCTTTCCCTGTAAAGCACATAGACTTTGGAGGGTTGGGATAGTGAGAAAATGTAGGAAGATGTGGAAATAGAAAATGGGATAAAGAGTTGGGGGAGACATGGAGTGAAGGGTTAACTATATTGAATTAGGGCTTTGAATTGAATCAGCTTTATTGTCACAGGTACTCAAATGAGTACAGTGAAAAGTTTGCAAGTCGCCATTTGGTACAGATTCTTCAGTACACGTTTGTGGGAAATAATATTAGAAAAATAAGGAAATAAGAAAAGTCCAGCATTGCAGATTGTAGGAATAAATTAGAAAATAGAGAAATAGAAAGTTTGAATAACGGTCGTTCCCTCCAACCCAATCCACCTCGCCCCCAGTCCGCACTGGGCCTTTACTCCAGACTGTGCTGGGCTTCACTTCGAGGCTTTTGAAACTAAGAGATGACTCTGGAATCACCTCAAGACCAGACGTCCACAATGAGGCCACACTGGGCCGAAAGACCACCATGGGCCACTGAGAGACCGCCACGGTGAGATGGGAGGTTCCCATGCAGGGCGGGGAATCTGCCACATCAGGCTGTGAGGACACCTTGTTGGATCTGCACTGAGGCCAGGAGTCCGGGGCTAGGAATCTGAGGCAGAGAGTCCAGGCCTGTGCTGATGTAGGGAGTCTGAGAATGAGAAAAAAGAAGAAAGAAGAGAGAAGAAGGAAAAAAAAGTCAAAAAAGAAATAAAGAGAAAGAAATGGATGGAGTGGACGAGTCCTGGCTGAAGCATCCTACTCTGCCACCACTGGTTACTCTGTGGAGGAGCTGAAAAAATATATATAGGTATCTCTTACCCTAGTAAGAAATAGCTGAGTGTGTACATTAGAAGCTCAGTCATAATGACAGAAGGCCAGCTAGAGCTGGGATCCGAGCTTGTAAAGTTCCAGAGCTATCCTCTCTCTTCTCAGTTTTGTGCATGCTTACAGTTGGCAAAGGTTGTTGATAGTCAATGGCATGAGTATTTGTTACCTTCAGGCAACAATGCGGACATGATCACACGGCACTAGGTGTGGAAGATCTGCCCAGTAAGTGATTGGCTTACGTTCAGTCATGGCATGGAGGAAGCTATTGCTGCTGCAGGAATTGCACCCATTCAGAGCCTCAGGAGAGGCCGGGGTAAATGTATGTGATGCAGTGGGGTGGTACCCAGTATGTGGCAGCCACAGCTATTACCGGGCACTTTCCTGCCAGATACTGATTGATTGAGAGACCCTCACCCACCTGCAGGGTAGCAGCTTTTCAGAATGCCCCATGAATGACAGGCCCAGCTTGCATCATGACAGCAAAACTCTACATGGTCATCACTTGACCGCTTAAGGTCCTCAACTGGCAGCAGGGCTAGAAGATTCATTCTGTTGGAACAAACACAGCGAATTCTGGAGAAACTCAGCAAGTTTGGCTGGAGAGCAAAACGGAGTTAATGTCTTAGGTCTGACAGGATTCTTTTTCAGAATTCTGTTTCTCTCTCCGCAGATGCTACCAGACCTGCTGAGTTTCTCCAGCATTCACTGTGTTTGTTTCAGATTTCCTGCATCTGCAGTGTTTTGCTTTAGTTCCAGTGGAGGTGGGGATGTGGCAGGGTTTGGATACACCATCGCCTCATCAATTCCATTCCCACCTCCAAACCTGC